TCATGTGCATGGAGCCCATCCCAAAGACCTTATTTGAAGCAGACTGCATCTGGAAAGACCCCATCTCCTGAGAAGGTCACATTCACAATGCCAGTGTCATGACTCCAGCACATGACATTGCCCAACCCACAACAGCACTGATGTGTGCATGCTTTCACCTGTACAATGCATGTGTGCTTTGTCATGTGTGTGCACACTTGGTATGTGTGCATGGATGCCATGTATGGTATGTTGGTGCCTATGTGTGCATGCCCTGTGTATGCTGTGTGTTTGTGTTTTGTGTGTGTGTGTGTGTGTTACATTACTCAACATAGCAGGCAATAGTGAATCCTGTTCATACTAACAGATAAAGAAATGGAGCCCAGTGCAGGGACAGGACCTCAGGGAACAGGAAGCCTGGCAGTCACTTCCCCTCTGTGACTTACACATAGAAGCTGAGGCACCTGAGTGAAGCGTTCACCACTGCAGCTCTCTGCCATTTGTGGGAAGAGGCAAGGAGGAGGGCTGTATGAACTTGGGCTGAGGGAGGCCACGGGCCATGAGAGGCAGAGGAGGCAGGCACAGAGCAGCTGGTGGAGCACACTGGACTTGACAGCCAGTCTCTGAGGGCAGTGAGCACTAGCAGAGTGGAGGTGTTGGGTATGGTCAATTGTCTATAGCTGGAAGTTTTTCTGTGTCCTGCCCGGTCCTGCAGCCACTCAGACCCAAGTAAACACACAGAGGCTTATATCAAGTACGAATTCCATGGCCATGGCCTATGGCCTCAATTTTCTTGCTAGCTAGTTCTTATAACTAAACTCAGCCCATTTCTATTCATCTATATGTCGCCACATGTTCCGTGGCTTTACCTGTGTGCCATTACATGCTGCTCCCTGCACGGCAGGATGGCATCTCCCAACTCAGCCTTTCTTCTTCCTGTCTCTCTCTTCAGTTTCCTGCCTAGCTATAACCTGACTTACCATAGGCCAAACAGCTTTATTTATCAACCATCAGAGCAACACATATTCACAGCATACAGAAAGGTATCCCACAGCAATTGTCCAGTCTCTGCAGCTGGGCTGGGAGGTGCCTTCCTCTGTGGAGCTCCTCGAGACACAGAGCTCTGGCTTTCATCTCTCAAGCACCCTCCACACAGCCCTCTTTGATCAGCCCCAGGGCCTACAGTTTCCCCAGCAGCTGGAGCTGAGCTGGAGAAGGGGATCTGGGCTGTGGCACAGTCTCAGTTCAAGTTGCTGCCCTGGATGCAAGCCCATGGCCTCCAGCCAGCCTTGGGCAGGAAGTAGGTCCCAGGTGCTTGCATCTAGCAGGGTGTGAAGCCTCCTAATGTATGGAAAGAGGTCAGGTTGGGGCCATGCAGTCAGACTTTCCAGGGATGGGCTCCCATTATCTGTGTGGGAGGAAGGAAGTGGTCCTGGGAGGGGCAGATAAGTCCTCTACCCCACAGGAAGGGTGGGTGGTGCATTTGGCCCAGGCTCTCCTTTCCTCAGACTCTGTGGGCTCAGGTTAACCCCTGGAAGCTGTGGGAGAAGAGACCCACCTATCAGGGCTACACATAGACAGATACACCCATAAACAAGGGTCTCTCACTCAGGACTTCCACGGAAGGAGATGGGGGTGCCTATCTTAGATCACTAGGCATGGATGTGTTCTGCATGGGCAGCTGGGCAGGTGCTCATGGGATGTCTCAGCTTCTCTGACACACACTGGCCTGTTCTCATCCACCACTTTCATGGCTCTCGATCTAATGACTATTTGTGTTCCCATCCCTGCTGGACCTCAGGTGTCCCGAGGCCCTTTGCTTGCCTCTCCTGGATCTTCTCTTTGCAGAATCTCCAGTGATCTCTGGCCTTTGGGTCTGCTGCCTGTCCTGGGCATGGGCTTCTCATATAGGACTCTGAACTTGAAGTGGCCACAAAGACAAACCACGGTGGGCTGCAGTAGGACCGAGGACAGCCCCCAGGGCTGTCTACCCTAGCTCCCACCCTGCCCAAGCCCTTCAGTCATCTACACTCTGGAGTCACCCAGTCAGAACTTGGGAGAAGTGGGTCTCCCTTCTTTCTAGGACATGGTTCATTCCCTGGTCAGTTGTCCCCTAGGCTCCAAGAGCTTCGGCTCCCCAGCCTGCTTCTTGGTGTCTCCACATCAGATAAAAGCCTGCCCTTAAATTCCATGACCTTTTAAAGCACTTATCTGCTCATTCATCACCAGGCACATTGTATCTGTAGAGATTAGATGGGGCTGAAGAAACAAAGTCAGTTGTGGTTCCTCTAGGGCCTGAGGGGAGGCTTGGGCAGGCCTCCTTGTCCCCAGGACCTGGGTCAGGGGAATTCTAGCCTGAGGCCTCCTCAGGAGCTCAGGAGAAGGGGACTATAGGTGTGATGGAAGCCTTAGTCCAGACTGGGGTTAGCATGGGTCCCTGCTTGCCAGTGCTAAAACTATTCTGGAGCAAGCCAGGCCCGGCTTGCTGTCCAGGAGTCTAGACAGATACAGACATATGCCATGGACAGACATAATATGCATGTAAACACACATGTGTACACAGGTAGAAGCCCATGTATGTTCATGCTACAACCCATGTTTATGCACTCATGCATGCTGTATGTGTATATGTGATAAGACTGTGTGTGTGTGTGGGGGTTTGGGTTTGGCTTGAGCACATATCCATAGTATGTACATGGATATATGTGTGCGTACATACGCATGCATTTTCAAGTTCAGGAGCCATATCCTTGAATAATGTAGAAATGAACAGAAGCCAGAGCCAGAGCTTTGCTCACAGCTGGTCATCCGACGCTTTGGAAGAACAAGGCTGACCAAGTCTCTTCCCTCCAGGGCCCTCAAGTTCCCAAGAGGCTCATTAGGGAGGATGGATGAGTCCTGGCAGCTGGGAGACCTCTGGAGTCACATGTGTGTGAGCACGTGCGCGCGTGCGCGCAAACACACACACACACACACACACACACACACACACACACACACACACACACACGCACAGCCTGTAGAGCTTGTTCCTGGCAGTTTCGTGAAGCCTGCTTCCTAGGGCTTACTAACTTCCCTAACACAGGAAGAGTGGAGGCTGTGGACAGACGTCCTCAGAGAGACCCACCAAGCTCTCAGTGGGGCACGTCAGTACTGCTCCTAGCGCAGGGGTGAGGCTTTGGCCTAGAGGCCTTCGGACTCCTATCCTGGGCTCATGAGCTGAAATCAAATGGTCCTGGGCTAAGGCCCAGGAGACTCGGAGAGCTGTGGGGACACATGCTCATATAGGTAGTAGAGGAAAGAAAGGGGACGATGAGTCTTTATCGCTCTGAACCCCACCCCTGCTATGGACATGGTAGGAGGTGTGGTTGGTTGGACTGTTGGATGAACCATGAGGAGCTTCTACCCAGCTGTCATCCCTGCGGCAGGATTAGCAACACACAGCAGGGGATGGAGCTGGGCTGGTCCGCAGCATAAATGGAGCCCATGAGTTGGGAAATGATGTTGCCTTTCTCACCATAGCACTACGTGAGTCTCCAGCATTCTCCAGCATCTGCCCAGGAGCACCTGCATCATGCCTTGCACCAATCACAGGGACCTTCGTTCTCACAGCTCTGCAATACCCCATTGTCTAGATAAGCCGACATGCATCCACCTGTCTTGGGGATGTTACCAGTCTCCACTCTGCTAGTTGGGGTCCCAACTGATCCCCCTGTATAACAAGTCACTCACTCCCCTGACCATGAGACCACATGGGCGCCACTTTCCTAGCCTCTGTTTTACGGGGACAGTGACACTGTCCTGTTCACCGCAGGTCCCAGGTTCTGCATGCCAGATGTCCATCCCCATGCTCCCTTCCGGACACGTCATTAATTCATCTTTCACAGCCTGGGAACTGGTTCTGCATGGCGTGATGTGTATGCAGCTCCTTCTGTCTTCTAATGGGGCTGTGTATGCTGTAGAGATTTCCTTGGCCCTTCCACGGAGTCTGTTGGTGAATGAACCTCTGCTGAGTGATATCACCTGTCTGGTGGCTGGAGCTGTGCACTGTTTAGCATCTGGTGATGAGGCTACCCTTTTCCTTGCTTGGGTGACCAAGAGTGTCTCCCTGTCTCTAAACCATCTCTTCCTGCCCACGTGCCGTCTGTACCTGCATGAAACCCAGAGGGGTTTGTTGACCTGGAGATCTATTTTTTTTTAATGACTTGTAATTTGCCTCTTAGTGCCTGAAAATATGACATCCCTTCATTTAATAAGACTTCCTTCATAAACATTAATAAATATTTTATAGTCTTCAAAATTTTTTGTGAGGGGGGATAGGTCAATGGGTAAGTGTGCTTGCTCTGCAGACATGAGAGCCTGAGGTCAGATTCCTGGCCCCCACATTAAAAAGCCAGGCTGCATTTGTCTGTGACCCCAGCACTGGGGGGACAAAATAGGTGGGTCCTGGAAGCTCACTGGCTGGCCAGCCTAGCTCAATGGTGACCTTCCAGTTTGGTGAGAGACCCTGTCTCAAAGGCAATATGGCAGAGAGTGATGGAGGAAGACATTGAAATCCTACTATAGCATTCCACATGTTCATGCATAGGTTTTCACCTACACATTCACATGTGCATACACACACACACACACACACACACGGATCTTTTGTGATTGTTCATTAGCTATTTGGTGGTTTTCGAGGCTGTTGAAATGGTGGCATTTTCTGAATGTTTGATTCAGGTCTAACTAATGAATGGTTAGCTTCTGCATGCTTACTTTATCCAGTGTCTCTGCCACACTCACTTTTTAAAAAACAACCGCTTTATTGAGATATACTGCACAAGCCCTAACCTCATGTACTGTAAATAAAAACCGAGTGTTTGCTGAGCATCTCCACAGACCCGTGCAAGAAGAATGCAGCCAGCCTCAGGAGAACCACATCACCCACATCACCACACTCTCCACACACAAGAAAAACAGCCAAGACCCGCACACCTCAAAGAGAAAGCAAACAGGAGTCGTGTCCACACTAAGCTCACCTTCAATCTGGAGGACTTATCTAGAAATTCTTAGGATTTTCGACATACACAGTCAAATTCCAAGGCTTGCTGTTATGGGGCCTGCAAGAACAGATGGGAAAGATTGATAAATTGGGACCTGCTGGGAAGGGAGTTGGGTTTTCAAAGGCCAGTTTACAAATTTGCTGATAGAAGCCCAGATACGGTTGGCCGAGGCATGTGTGTGTGTGTGTGTGTGTGTGTGTGTGTGTATAGTTGAGTTTTAACCGAAGTCACATCCCAGGTATGAAAGATTTATTAATTTTATTTTGCATGTATGGATATTTTGCCTGCATGCATATATATGTGCACCACATGCATGCCTGGTGCCGTGGATCCCCTGGAGTTACAGACAATAGTGAGCCACCATGTGGGTGCTGGGAATTGAACCCGTGTCCTCTAGAGGCCAGTGCTCTCATCCACTGAGCCATTTCTCCAGCTCCGCTTACAGTACCATCTTTTTGTTTTGTTTTGTTTGTTTTGTTTTTCGAGACAGGGCTTCTCTGTAGCTTTGGAGCCTGTACTGGACTAGCTCTGTAGACCAGGCTGGCCTCGAACTCACAGAGATCCACCTGCCTCTGCCTCCCGAGTGCTGGGATTAAAGGCGTGTGCCACCACCACCCGGCGCAGTACCATCTTAAAGGCTATTTCGGGGGCTTTTTTCCTCCCATCTCCAGAGGGTGTCTGTCTATAGGGAAGGCTGGTGCTGATGCAACCAGTGAAGCCACGCTCAGGCAGTCAAGCCACCATCCCTTGGCAATCCCCAGAATCCCACTGGATCATTTGATCCCAGGTCTACTTGATCAAACTTCTTACCCAGCCTGGGGAGCCAGTGCGGAGCTCATGGTGGGGGACAGTGAACCACAAGTCAGCCTTTCCCTTGGTGCCCTGAGAGCAAAGCACAGGTCCTCTGCAGAGGGGCCACTTCAAACCTGAGGAGCCAGGAACAAAGAAGAGTGTAAATTCTCTGTGAAATCTGTTCTCCTGAGCTAGAGTGTGTAGGAGGGAGAATCTCTGTGGAAGGAAGGCGCCCAGCATACCATAGTGGAACGGATCTCAGCAGTATAGGGACTTGGACTTAGAAAAATTTGCACACTATTAAAAATTGGCATATCCACCAGAATAAGTTTTTTGTTTTGTTTTGTTTTTGTTTTTAAGACAGGATCTCATGTAGTCCAGGGTGGCCTCTAACTCCCTGGACCTGGGTACCTAAGGATGGCTTAAATTTCTTATCCTCCTGCCTCTACCTCTCAAGTGATGGGACTAAAAATCTTTCAAGGATAACTGGGCAAGCTGTTACCCCCAAAGAGGGTGAAAACATTTCCCCTCCTCTTTCACACCCCCCCTCCCGCCCCGTGCCCTCTCCTTTCTGTCCTGGGACCTGAAGAAGAAATGGAGGGTAGGACAGAGGGCCACCTGGCCCCACTTGCCTAGCCTCTGTGCAACTCCAGTTTGTTTCCACAAAGCCTGCCTTATTTCCCGAAGGGAGGCGGCGGCGGCAAAGTTGACACCTCCATCCGAAAGATGACGGCTTCTTGGCAGAAGTGAGTGAGTGAGTGAGCGAGCGAGCACATGGATGTGTGTACAGGAAAAGCACCGACAATCTCCCTCACCCTCCCTGGGAACTCCATCCCGTAGCGCCAGCGTGCTCCTATGGAGCTAATGGTGTTCTGAGTCAAAGATTCCATTTGGGTATCAGCTTCCCCCAGAGGAGGAAGTTCTGGACGACGTGTCTGTAAACTCAGATAAGATAGGGATAGACAGAGTGCGCTGTGGACGAATGCCTGGAGAATGAACAGTGGCTGCTTTGAACACGCTTCCTTCCAAGGCTAATATTTTCAGAAGGAAAAAATATAACAAAGGTTATGACTGTTACATTTTAAATCTTGACAAGGCCCTGTTTGATCATTAACCTACTCCACAGAGCCAAACTACTGGTCACATGTCATTATACATTTGTCCAGCCCCACAGAGTGCCGGATAGAGGACAGATCTGAGGGCAGTCCATGGAGTCGTTAATAAGAACAGATCCGTATCTGCTCAGTGCTGTGCCTTCTATGAATGGGCAAGACGATGACAAGTGGAGTCATTGGAATGGACTGGGTTTCTGTAAACCTGAAACTGCCCTTTAAGAGAAAACCTACTGGGCTGGAGAGATGGCTTAGCGTTTAAAAGCATTGGCTGCTCTTCCAGAGGACCCAGGTTCAATTCCCAGGACCCACATAGCAGCTCATAACTGTCTGCAACTACAGTTCCAGAGGTTCTGACACCCTCACACAGACATACACGCAGACAAAACGCCAATGCACATAAAAAAAAGCGTCATTATCAATTGAAGAAAAGAAAAAGAAAACCTATCAACTTAAGAAAATGTTAGCCGGGCGGTGGTGGCGCACGCCTTTAATCCCAGCACTCGGGAGGCAGAGTCAGGCGGATCTCCGTGAGTTCGAGGCCAGCCTGGGCTACCAAGTGAGTCCCAGGAGAGGCGCAAAGCTACACAGAGAAACCCTGTCTCGAAAAACCAAAAAAAAAAAAAAAAAGAAAATGTTAAAATCTCCAACCACAGCCCCCTTCTTTAATAAATCTTACAGGTTTCTCCTAAAAAATAGCGTCAGTTACCTAAAATGTCAAATTGGAACACGGGTTTTGGAGGGCTGGTGTTTCCTGAGTTCTCTGGTGACCACTGAGTTTCTGGTTGTTACTAAGCATCCAGAAAGGATGTGCTCTTCCAAATGACCTCCTTCCCTTGGGTTGGCCATGACAGTGGTTGCAAAGACACCTTCTACTATTCTTCACTTGAAAACTGCTTGCTATAACCTGCACTTTTAAAAGTGGATATCTCTAATGATATTAACTTGAAAATCCCATTGTATTTTTATTTGATTTCATTACAGTACTGATGTTCTCTAAGACCTTTGAACTTGTAAGACTATAACATTTGAACTTGTAAGACTATAACATTAAGGAGGAAAAGTCCGTTTGGTTTAAAATCTGAAGTTCAAAACCACCCTCTTCACCACCACTCATGGGGCTCATAAACGCACCTTAAGGGAGGGAGGGCTGATTTTTGGCTTACAGTTTGAGACTGTAGTCCATCATGATGGGGAGTCACAGCAATAGGAGGTGGGGTGGTCACATTATATCCACAGTCAAAAACAAAAAATAGATGTGCAATGAATGTGTGTGCTTATCCCGGTTTCTCCATTTTAGAGTTTAGAATCGCTGCCTAGGGAATTGTACCACCCACAGTGAGTGAGTCTTCCCACTTGAATTAACCTAATCAAGACAATCCCCAACAGGCATGCCCAGAGACCTGTCTCTCTAGAGCTCATTGAGTCAAGTTGTTGAGCTTAACCACTGTACCGGGTACCTCAGGCACTCCTGGGCAATCAGTGACTGGCAACAGGAGCATGGAGCAATTCTCAGGCACTCACCTTGCCAGACACCACAAGGAGTCTCATCTGAGGTTTCAGTCCCCCAACAGATGGCAAATGGATGTGCAAGTGCCCACAGGGTAGGCAGCTGTGGCCCTGGCATCTCACCAGATTCCTTGGACGGCTGGGAGGTACATGGCTTCCACCTCACTGCAAAGGAAATAGATGAACAGAAGGAAAATTGGTACCATAGGAATCATGGGAGAATGTGAGGTCTAGAAAGAGGCAGGAATAGACACCCCAAGCTGCTAGAAAAGTTGCCTGGGGATGGGTAGCACTTATGGGGGTTTGGGGGAGATGAGCAATGGTTTAGGGCAGATGCTTCCTCCAGAAGCCCCATGTCTTAGTTAGGGTTCCTATTGCTGTAAAGAGACACCATGGCTGCTGCAACTCTTATAAAGGAAAACATTTAATTGAGGAGGCTTACAGTTCAGAAGTTCAGTCTATTATCATCATGGTGGGACATGGAGGCATGCAGGCAGACATGGTGCTGGAGAAGGAGCTGGGAGTCCTACATCTTGCAGGCAACAGGAAGTGGTCTGTGACACTGGGCAACATCTTGAACATAGGAGATCTCAAAGCCCATCCCCACAGTGACACACTTCCTCCAACAAGGCCACATCCACTTCAACAAGGTCATACCTCCTAATAGTGCCACTCCCTTTTGGGGGGAACACTTTCTTTCAAATCACCACCCCCCCAGAGAGGTTCTAGAAAGTGGAGAAGAATTCCAGAAGCTTTGCCCAATGACCCCTACAGTACTGAAGGGGAACCCAGATCTCACCTTGGCCCCTTGGGACAATGAGGTATGGGGTAGGCATAGGTACCATCCAGTGCATGCCTGAAGGAGGGTATGAGTCCTCAGTTGGGCTTCATCTGAGACCAGATTCCCATCAGAGGAGGTCCCCCTAGGCCAAACTGTTGATCCTTGCCTGTGACAGGGACACAGCCAGGGATGGACATGTGTTGTTCTCATTGTTACTGAAAAGCTGACTGGTCAATGGCTAGGCAGGATTTTGGAGGCAGAGAGAATGCTGGGGAAAAGATGGGTGGAGCCAGGCGATGCCATGAGATGCAGAGTGAGCAGGATGGGAGGTACATAAATGAGTTAAATGAGCCTCAGGGCAGCACATAGATTAATGGAAATGGGATAATATAAGTTATAAAAGCTAGCTTAAAAAAAGCCTAAGCTATCGACCAAGCATTTATAATTAATATTAAGTCTCTGTGTGGTTATTTGGGAACTGGCTGGTGGGACAGAAAAGTCCACCTACAGACATGTCTAGGGACAGCTGGGAGAATTGAAAGGGCACCAAAGATAGTAGGCATGCATAGTAACCAGATACTGCAAGCTCAGCTGAATCCAAGCGCCACAAACTCCTATAGCAAGGATGGACATGGGCAGAGGGAAGGGCACTCTAATGGCTGAGTGCTTTCTCCTAAAAGCCCAAATCTTAACGTCCTAACTCTCAGGACCCCAGGATGACACTGCATTCAGAAATGGGGTGCTGAAAGAGATCATTAAGGCAAAATGAAGGGATCATCATGGGCCCTGATCCAACATAACTCTATCTTTACATGAAGACACCAAGACACAGATGGACAGGGGGACAGCCATCTGAGGACACAAGAAGATGTCATCTACAAGCCAAGGAGAGAAGTGCCCAGGACCTACCCTGTGACACCATAATCCTGAACTCCAGACTCCCAAGTGAGAGACCAAGTGACCACCGAATACCCCACAATCTGGTGTTCGGCATGCCGGCTCCAGAAGTCCAGCTGGGTGGCCTCTTGCAAGCACAGGGAATGGTTCCTCCGAAAGTGGTCTCTGCTAGGTCACCATCAGATGGAGACATGCAGCCCCATGTGCCCCACAATCCATACAGTGTTTATCGCAAAGAGATGTAGATATCAGTGTGCATTTGCCATGTCTATGGTGATATTTTATTTGTATTAAAATGTTATTTGTATGTTAATAAATAAAGTTGCCTGGGGGTCAGAGCTATTAGCAAGTCATAGGAAAGCAGGGCAGTGGTGGCATACGCTTGTAATCCCAGCACTTGGTAGGCAGAGCTGGGTAAGTCTCTGTGTGTTCAGGGATACAGCCATTATTGGATACACATGCCTTTAATCTCAATACCAATCATGGAAAACCTGGAGGTCTATACAGACAGGCCGTGACGAGGCGGTCATGTGGTTGGGTTTACAACCAATGAGAAGGCAGAACAGAAATTCTATATAAGGACTTTAACACAGGAAGTAGCTCTGGTTCGGAGAGGTAGGACTACTGCAGGAGGAAGGGTAAGGTTTTAGCTCTTAGCTCTGACCTCTTGGCTTTCTTCTTTGCATTGGTTCTGTGTTTCTTATTTAATATTAATAAGACAGTTGGTTACTTCTACACATGTCTGTACCCAGAGCATTCATGGTCACACTCACTGCAGCTTCCTTTGTCATGGTGATAAATGAAAATATCAAAGTCTTTGGGTATCAGACTGTGGGGTTTTGTGTTTGTTTGTTTGCTGTTTTGTTTTATTTTTGTCAACCCTATACAAGCTAGAGTCATTTGACTCTCAAGTGAGAAAATGCAAACCTGTGGGGTGTTTCCTTGGTTAATGATCTAGGTGGGAGGGCCCAGTCCACTGGGAGTGGTACCACCCCCTCCCTGGGCAGGTGGTCCTGGTTGTATAAGAAAGCAGGCTGAGGCCGAGCATAGTGGCGCTCACTTTTAATCCCAGCCCCTGGAAGGCAGAGGCAAGTGGATCTCTGTGAGTTTGAGGCCAGCCTGGTCTACATAGTGAACTCCAGGACAACCAGAGCTACATAGTGAGACCCTGTCTTGAAACAAACAAAATAAATAAAAATATAAAAAAAAAAAGAAAGAAAGAAAGCAGACTGAGCAAGCCAGTAATCAGTGTTCCTCCATGGCTTCTGCTTTGCTTCCTGCCTCGGCTTCCCCTTATGATGGATAGACTAGTTTAATCTGTAAGACAAATAAACCACTTACTCCCCAAGTTGCCTTTGGGTACGGGGCTCATCACAGCACTAGACAGCACAGCAGGACAAACCGTTAGGCAAGCTGCGGTCCGTCTGTCAGCAGACATGACTCAGCAGTAGAAAAGGACTCGCAGCCCAGTGACTCAGAAGCAGTTTGCTGAGTGAAAGGACACTCAGAAAAGACTCAGTGATGACAGACTAGTGGATGCTAGAGGCCGATGGGGAGGGGACAGGGAGGAAGAAAAGGTGACATGGGCAGTGTCTTTGGAAGGGCTGTCCTGGATCCTGTCTGTGGTGGCACAGATCTGCCATGTGTTCAAATCCATAGCACTGTACCACTCAAAACGCCTGTGCTGGGTCCTGCTCATCACACCACAGGTTCTGGGTGCTACAGGGCCTTTCTCTGTGTTTTGGCTGGATGTGAATTATGCATTTCCGTTTCCCCAAAACTCACTGGCTTTCCAAATGTGGCTCTAACAAGCTAATGGGCAAACGCTCAAAGAAGAAAGGAGATCCCCATACAAACACCTTCCAACAAGATGGCTGGGACACGGGCTGATACTGGAGCATCAAGTACCTCTTCCTCAGCAGAAGGACTTGGGACTGATACACACGTGCATCCCGACACCCCGGTAGTACATGTGAGGCGGAGAAGATTTGCCAGCAAGAAACATTATCACGGAGCAGCCTCTAAGACACATCTGATTCTCCTGTGGCTTTGGGGCCTTCGGATGAGGTTCACTCTGTCCCTGAGCCATGGGACTCTGCCTCACTCTCAATGACCAAAGTAGAGGAAGGCAATGACAGTCCAGGTCCCCTGGGTTAATAGGGAGCTCGGTGCCCCCAGCATGAGGTGACTGGAGGCACCTTGCCCCCTCGCTTGCTTCCTCCTTTAAAAGCTCAGACATGGAGGCTACCTGTAAGAAACCATCAGCCAGGCTGCATTGAGGGGTGTGAGCTTCCCGGAATGCCACTCAAAGGTGGCAGGATTCAAGAAAGACAGAAAAAGCCACCAGTGGAAGGAGCCGGGGAGTCCCGTCCTGAAACACCGGGGACGCCAGGCATCTGAGAGGCTGCGGTTTGCTGAGTGCAGACTCTTCAGCTCTAATTTTCTGGTTTTGACTAATGTCCTGTGGTTATTCAGGATGCCCGCCATCAAGGCTGGAAGGACAGGCTGCAGTCTTTTAAACTTTTTTTTCTAAATTGAAAGTTCTCTCTCAGGCAGCGTGTGTTTGGGGAGACTGTCTCTGACTTCATGGAGTCGGCTGACCTGGTGAAGGGAGGGCTGTGTACCCATGGACAGAGGCAACTGAAAATGAATCCAAAAGGATTTTGTAACACGCAAAGAGCTGCAAGCCACAGTTACTAGCTGAACCTGAAAGTCCTTCCTCCACGCTGGAGTTTCACAACAATGAAGCAATTATTCCCCAACCACCAAACAGGCGGGCCCTGAAGCAGCCCCCACCTCCAATATCAGGAATGTCCTTCCTTCCAGGTGCGCGTGCCTCTCCCGGGTCCTTCACATCACACTGCGGGCTCTGGATACTAAAAGGTCTTTGTCTTTTGCCAAGAGATCGCTTCTACATTTCCGTTTCCCTGACACCCACCAGCTCTCCACAAGTGGCTCTCCTCAGGTTAACCATTCTTAGGCTGTCTGTGCTATGTGCTTGTCCCAGTGGCCACCCGCCATGAGTGCCCATTGGCTGACTGCCCACCAGGCAGCTGATGAGCTGGAAGCCTCACCAGGGGAGCTGCAGCTTCAAGCCCCCCAGGGCACCAGGTAGGATATGCCCAGGGTGAGTGTGGGTTCCCCTCTACAGCAAGCCCTCAGTGAGACAGTATAGAAACACGACCTTCTCTTCCCCTCCATCTCCCCCTGCTCCTCTTTTCTCATCCCTCACCCCCTCCTCCTCTACCCCCTCCTCCATGCCCAATAAATTCAGTGTAACTGTCTCATTTCATAGGTGGCAAGAAAGCTTCCTGAAATGCTAGGAGAAAAGGGAGTCTTGCCACACTCTAGGGCTGAGTTCCACTTGACTTCCAATCCCAGGGATCTGCCTGGTAGGAATGTGTGTCTTCCCTAGGACCCCTTTCCTAATGTTCTCTACCCCCACAGGCCCTGAGATGCATACTGGGGCTCCACACATGCTAGACACTCTCGTGTCCATTTGCAGCCCTTAAGCTCAGCCTCCTGTGTACATGTCTACTGCCACCTGACCCAGTTCGACACACCGGGGTGTTGGCAACAGCCTACACCTGGACCCTGTCCCTGCCTGCCTCTGGTCACAGTCAGCCAGGTGCCTCTAGGCACCTCCTGACCCTATCCTTCTGACAGCAGGTATCCTGGTAGCATCCCCATCTCCCCTGCTCTCTCTCTCTCTCTCTTTCTCTCTCTCTCTCTCTCTCTCTCTCTCTCTTTTTTTGGTTTTTCGAGACAGGGTTTCTCTGTATAGCTTTGCGCCTTTCCTGGAACTCACTCTGTAGCCCAGGCTGGCCTCGAACTCACAGAGATCCGCCTGCCTCTGCCTCCTGAGTGCTGGGATTAAAGGCGTGTGCCACCACCGCCCAGCTCCTGCACTCTCTTTCTACCTCAGTGGCTCGCTCTCCCACAGTTCCTCTTTTCTGCCAAGGACACTTGCATTTTCTGTCTGCCTCTGTTGCCCAGGCCTGAGCCTTTCCCAGACCCACCAATCCCATCATGCATGTCTTCTGTAGATAGTACCTTCAGAGCTATCACCATTATACATCCAAGTTGGGTAGCACGTGACCCCCATCTGTGCGTGTCCTGGGGACAGCACTGGCCTGCGTTCATCTTCCCATCTATTCTCTGCAGCAAACCAAGCTCCATGCACGTGATGGGCACTTCACCCTCAGAACACTGGACAGGGTGACATTTGACTCATGGGCCCGTGTCTGCCCACTGCACTTGAGGCACAGAGGACTACTATCCCCAGCACTGGGGTGGGAGGGGTGCCTTCCGGTAGAAGTGACGAGGGGACAGGCTCTGAAGGCTAATCTAAAGGGAAAATGGAGCCCAGAGGCAGTGGAGCAGCCAACAGAGGCTTGTCATTCTTGTGACTGATTAGGAAACAAGAGGGGGTCTGGTTGCATCAAAGAGAGCCATCAGTGCCCAGGGTGGGTGTGGGAGTCTCCAGAGATGCTGGGAGACACCCCATTTGTGGAAAGTGTCTCAGGAACACCTGTGGGATAGGAGGTAGAGCGGAGAGTCGGGGACCAGAGAGTCCTGGCCTAGAACTCATCTCTGTCTTGTATCTAAGGCTGAACAGAGGGATCAGGGAAACTGAGCAGCAAGCACTGAGTTCCAGGTCCAGGCTGGAACCCCAAGATGGAGGTGGGATGAGCAGGCTGTGAGTGTTAATGTTAAGTCTGACGTTTATCACAAAGCACAAGGTACTTTGGTGGATACTAATGGTAGGCATAAAAATCATCCCAGGCTCAGGTGGGGCTCTCTAGCAGCCAGGGCGCTTCTGAAGCAGTGTCTTCCATGTGGTTCCACGGGTCTGTGTGCCTCGTCCGAGCCAGAAGATGCTGTCTCTGGATGCTGCAGGTGTCAGACAAGCCTGCTGGGCTGGTCCAGGACAGTGGCCAGAGGGAAAAATATGCTAGTTTGCTCTTTATTGCTGTGGTAAACACCATGGCCAAAAGAAACTAGGGGAGGAGAGGGTTCATTTGAAATTATAGCTTATAGTCCACCACTGGGGGAAGCTGGAGCAGGAACGCTCAAGTCAGGAACCTGGGTGCAGGAAGTGAAGCAGAGCCCGTGGAGGGATGCTAATTACTGGCTTGCTCCTTGTGGCTTGCTCAGCTTGATTTTTTTCATACAATCCAGGACCACCTGCCCAGAGGCAGTAACACCCACAGTTAGCCGGGCAGCCCACGCCAATCATCAATCAAGACAATGCCCTACAGATGTCCCTACAGGGCAATCTAATGGAGGCATTTTCTCAGGTGAGAGTCCTCCAGGTGACTCTAGCATGTGTCAAATTGACAAAAAAAAAAATACCTACCCAGCATACAAGGCAGGTGAAGAGAGCCTGGAAGGGGCTGGCTACAGCGTGGTCAGTCAGCCAGTTCGGTGGCCTGGAGAGACAAGTCCTGCAAAAAGAGAACGCCAGACATCTCTGAGAGCCACAGCTGCGGATGGCCTTCTGAGCCTCTGGGAGAGAACAAAGGCCCTGTGTGTCTGTCCGGAGTGAAGCTCTTGTGGAAGACAGAGCCCCTTTCAATGCCAGCCAACTCCCACCAAGTCAAGGCTGCTGTGGCCTTGGGGTGAAGGGGCAACCCTGATGTGGCTGACGCAAGTGGGTGATTCAAAAGCACCAGCAAGGTGGCCATGGCTGCTGGGAGTCACAGAGGGCAACTTCAGCTCGCCTTACCTAATCTCAACTCTGACTCCAGAGAGTGGGCCTGGAGCCCAGGAATGAGCTGGTCAGAGCCCCAGGGGTGGAGACAAAGGCTGTGACATCTCAGAATGTACCAGACATGGCCAGCTGCAGGTGGCAGGCAGGTGAGCCGAGCCAAGGCCAAGGTTGAGACACAGATGAACTCAAAACCAAAAGGACAGTGGGAGAAAGGCCTGGCAACAGATGGGCCACAGCATAGCTCTAGGGACGACAGCCCACAGGACCACAGGCCGTGGAGACCACAATGAATGGGAACCACAGCCCATGGAGACAAAACTCCACAAGGATCATAACCCACAAGACACCAACCCACAGGAACCAACAGCCCATGGAAATGCAGTGTTCTGCAGCTAGGTTGAGTCAGGTTAAGAACGTGGGGTGCAATGTCCCCCTTGATCCCAGAATATGGCAGAGAGGCATTCAGCCACAGGCTCCTGGCTCTGGTCAGTTGGGCATCTCCTATCTAAGACAGTAGGAGTAGGTTGGCAGAGGAGCCAGATGTCCACCAAGGTGCATCCTTGGTGCAAGTTGTAGGGGACCTAGGAATGTGCCCTCTGTGTGGGTAGACTACAGCAGGGCCTGTCTCCCATGCTTCCTGGCTCTCCTCTCAGTTCCTAAGCCAGTAGCGTCAGGGCTGAGCTGGCAAACAGACTGTGGCCGGAGAAGGGGGACTGCGTTGTGGCACAGGTTGGGGAGGCCAGGGTTGTTTGGCAAAGAGTCATGCAGCAGAGCTCAGAGAAGGCAACCTTGGAGGACACTGGTGCAGAGATGTGCTGATCGGGGTAGGGGGTAGCTTCCCAGTCACACTGGACTCTCTGGAGAGACCGAGTTTAGGTCCATGTTCACCTGCCTGGCTCTCAGACGTGGCTCCTAGAAGATGGGCCCCTCAGTACCTATCGTGTCCCTTATCTTAAAGCAGGTGTCCAGGGACTAAGTAAATGGGGTAAGGCAGTGCAGGTTTTAGGGGGCTCTTTGGGGTGAGCCATTGGGTGGCTCTGGGAAAGATGATGCGGATGCAGAGTCCACATCTCCCAGCAGAGACAACGGTAGAAAAGCAGGACCAGCATGCCTCACCCCTTCAGCTGATGCCTACCTAGGTCCTAGGAAGAACGTATGGAATTTTCTGGCAGAGATCACATGAAGAAGATCTGGAGACCCCAGTTACACCCAGGACAGCAGCCTCCAGGGAATAGGGTTTGGGCAACCAGGACAGACCACAGGTGTGTCTGCTCGGCAAGCAGGTGGGTGTGCTCCTGAGAGCCCCCACAGGGACCCCCTGGGAAACAGGGAGTGTCCTGCAAAGTTTCTGCAGGTAGCCTTCCCGGTGCAGACTGTGTTACCTCCGCCCTAGTTACGCAGATGTGTTCGTCCTGGGTCTTCAGTATGACCAGCTTCTCACAGACAGCCTTCACCTAGCTGACAGTCCAGGCCTGCAGATCCGCACTGCCTGATGGGCAATACCCAGGCTCCCCAAGGGTGTGGGGCTACATGGTGTCATACCATAGAGATACATTGAAACAATGAAAAGTGTGAGGCTGGGACCTTCAGGACCGTTCTTAATCTAAGATGACTTGGATGGCAAAGCACAGTGGGCGGTACCATTATTTCCATGGCCATCAGGGTCAGTGGGGACAGAGAGCAGCTGTGTCCAAAACCCAGCTTGTCTACGGGTGCCTGTGGATCTCAGGGTGAAACATTGTGTAGGACTGAGGTCAGGGTGAGCCAGCGACTGAGCCCATCCCCAGCAGCTGGGTTTGGAGGGAGGCCTGACGCACTCACTGTGGGCATAAGCACCTCGCTCACTGCAGAGAGATTTATTGAGTGCCTACTGTATGCCAGGTGCAGTTGTGATATTCAGGCTCCATCGGTGAATGAAGCAGATGGAGAATGAGATCTCACTCTTCCCGGAATCTGCGCTCCCACAGAGGCTCAAACGGTGCCAGGTTCTCAAGATAAGGAGGCAAAGCTCACCATGTGTGCTGGCTAGTTTTAATGTCAACTTGACACAAGCTAGAGTTATCTGAAAGGAGGGAACCTCAACTGAGAAAATGCCTCTGTAAGACCTCTCAAGGGCATTTTCTTAATTAGTGACTCATGGGGAGGGCCCGGCTCATGGTGGGTGGGGCCATGCCTGGGCTGATGGTCCTGGGTTCTGTAAGAAAGCAGGCTGAGCAAACCATGGGGAGCAAGCCAGTCTGCAGCACCCCTCCATGGCCTCTGCATCAGCTCCTGCCTCCAGGTTCCTGCCCTGTTTGAGTTCCTGTCCTGATTTCCTTCAGTGATGATCAGTGATGTGGAAGAGTGAGCCAGATAAAGCCTTGCCTCTCCGACTTGCTTTGCTCACAGTATTTCATCATTAGCAACAGAAACTCTAGGACACCATGTGTATATGACTTATGCAGAAGAAGAAAGACAACCTGGGGTGGAGTCATGGGGTCAGGATGGGAGGTCTGGGGAGTGGCTCTATGAGCCGGAAGGTGGCACCCTGAAAGAGAGTGGCTGTACTGAGCAGAGAGAGCCGTCAGAGTGAGTTGGGCACAGAGTGGCCAAGGCTCACATAAGTAAGGCGCGACAGTGAGCACTGTGGACAGTGATGTCTCGGGGACGCTAAGGAAGCAGTCTGAGGGAATGGCTTCAAGCTTGGGCTTCCCCTGGTGAGCACCATGCACCGAGGAGGGAGCAGGGAGAACTCAGATGGTAACTGATGGGGGGACCACGATGTGAAGAAGAGGGAAGGAGGCAGGCGAACTGGCTGGAAGGGTGTCTTAAATACAGCGTGGTTGCTCGGTAGACAGCCCAAGGCACCTATGATGCTGTGCGGTTCAGATTTTAGTGGAAAGGGGGAAACATAAACACAAAGGAAGCAGCTGGTTCGGGGACAGTGAATTCAGATTAACCCAGATGAGAGAAGGGGTACAGCCAGGGTGGCCGGCCAGGAGAGCTTCATCCTGAGACAGCCCTCATCAGTCCGCCTTGGGATGCCTGGGGCAGCTGTGGGTCTCAGGCTGGGTGGGTGCCTTCCAGATCCACCAGCACCATGTCCTCAGAAGTTCAGCTCTACACACTGGAAGGAGGTGTGTCCGAGAGGGTGTAAGTGAAAGGAATCGGTCCTTTATCTTCACCCTCTACACCAGCAGTTCTCAACCTGTGGGTCATGACCCCTTTGAGGGGTCACACATCAGATATCCTGCATATCAGATATTTACATTACAATTCCTAACAGTAGCAAAATTACAGTTATATGAAGTAGCAACAAGATAATTTTATGGTGGGGGGGTCACCACGGCATGAGGAACTGTATTAAAGGGTCACAGCATTAGGAAGGTTGAGAACCACTGCTCTACACTGTCTTAAGGAACAGCTGTTTAAAATAGCAGCTGGGGGTGTCTGCAGCTGTGACTGAGCCCTCACTCCAGGTGACAGCCTTGTTATAGATACAGAGAAGACTTTAAGGTCCTCACACAATGTAGGGGACCTGGCCACACCCAAGGCATCGGAACTCCTCCTCCTCCTCCTCTTCCTCCTCCTCCTCCTGTGAGTCCTTCATCCAGGCTCAAGAACCACAGCTGAAGGACACCAAGGAAAGACACTGTGACAATGTGGGGAACCAGCCATTCCTGTCATCACTGTGTTCTGGGTCCCCCTGGATAAGGTCTTTCACTTAGACCTTGGCAAAGCTGGTGGGTGGAGCTGGGTGCTTTCCTCACACCTCTGCAGACATCTCTTCGGAGGAGAAGGCCCTGAAAGGCAGAAGCCTGATGTTGCGGGGCCCAGCTTGCCTCTCCACTTTCTTGTCATTATAGAACAGCACATGGTGCTGTCCAGCAGTCAGCAGGGCTGGGGAGCCCCAGGCCCCTCCCACCCTGTTCTTCTGCTCTGTTTAACGTTGTGCATCTGCAGGTCAGTGATGGTGCAGGGAGGGGACAGAGTCATGGCTCCCGTTGCTAACATGTGCCCACGACCCCGCTACCCTCTGAAGAGGACAGGAATGACCAGCAACCACACATCTGGATGAGTCAGGCGCACTGGCACCACAGCGGACCAGGAGGAAACACCCACATCAGTCTCTGGAAGTACAGGCTGATGCACACCTGGGGTGCTTTCTCTCCGCCGAGTGACTCACCAAAAAGTTTTCTTTTTGTGCTACCAAAACTTGTGTATTATTTGGGCACACGCCAGGTATTGGGTTAGGAACATCTAAAAATAAGCCCTCACCACTGGCTCCCAGTATGGCAAGGACTTGTGCCTCTACAATGAGGTCACAAGACTCTGAGCTCCGTCCCTCCTCCCCACACTGCCGAGGCCAAAGTGTCCTCAACTATACAGAAATCCAAGGGACATTCCTAAGAAGCAGGAGTGGGCGTGGCCTTGGTAGAAGTAGACGCCCATGTCCTCAACTGGCAGAGGGCAAGTTGACCCTGGTACTCTGAGGGCACCTCAAGGCTGGACACAGCCCTATAAGGAGCTCCTGGTCAGGACCAAGCAACAGCACCAAGAATAGCCTCAGCTGGCCTTCGGACGGACCGGCGCCAGGGTCCCAAGGAGGGCGCCAGGACAGCCAGACGGGCTGGTCAGGCCCTTGGTGCCTGTTTCCTTCCTGCTGACTGCCCAGCATGGCTCCCTGAGGCTGGGGGCTGGGGCACACAGCAGGGCAACTGCTGGCCACAGATGCCAGGCCAGATGCCATGCTGA